AGTCTGGAAGGCAGGATTAGTTTTGTGTAACTCCCTCTCCTTGAGCATGGCTGGGACCTGTGACTTGCTTCTAGCCAACAGACTACAGCAAAGGTGACAGGATGTCACTTCCATGATAAGGTTACATAAGAGTGTAACTTCTGTATTGGTAGCAGACTCTGCCTTATTTGAAGCAAGCTGCTATGTTGTGAGCTGGACTTTGGAAAGGCCCATGTGGCAAGGAACTGAGGGCAGCCTCTGGCCCACCGCCAACAAGAAACTGAGGCCCTCAGTCCAACAGCTCAAAATGAACCAAATTCTGTGAATGACCATGTGATCTCAGAAGCAGATCCTTCTCTAGATGAGGATTAGATGAGACCACTATTCTGGCCAACACCTTGACTTGCAGCCTTGTGAGACCCTGAACCAGAGGACTCAGCTAAGCCATGTCTGGACAGACTCATGACTCACAGAAACTGTAAGATAACAATGTGTGTTCCTGAGTTTGTGATAATTTGCTAGGTAGCACTACATAACTCACACACCTAGGTTACTAAAGCTAAAGACCAGTGTTCATCAATATTGTAATTCAGTGTTTCTCATTACTATCTGTTCTGTGAGGAGGATGCTTTGTTTCACGCCTAATGATTAGGGGTGTGGTCCACATCAAAGGTCAACCCTTGTCTGACCATCAGAATTACTGGGATGCTTGAACCCTCTGCCAGAGCTAATCAAACACAATCTCTAGGGTTATGGCCTGCTAATATGTATTTTTCAAAAACTTTCTGCAAAGTATCTTGCCCAAGATATTAACCACAAAGAAACAGTAGCTTTAGAGTGGAGAAATCTGACAGTGAGCAACTTAACTAAGCGATCGAGGTTGGCATCACCAGTAAGATATATCTGCATCATGTACCCTCTGACATGATGCACTGAGGACGCATCACTTCTGTAGTATTAATGCATAACCTCAGTATAATCAGAGTAACTACTGTACCAAACTCAAACTCAGAGAGATTCTGCAAAATAGCTGGCCAGTATTCTTCAAAAGTGTCTGAGTCATGAAAGGCAAGAAAAGACAGAAGAACTGGGGCCAGCCCCTTGGTCGAGTGGTTAAGTTCACACGCTGTGCTTTGGCAGCCCAGGGTTTCGCCGGTTTGGATCCTGGGTGGCGACCTAGCACCACTTATCAAGACATGCTGAGGTGGCATCCCACACGTCACAACCAGAAGGGCCCACAAGTAAAATACACAGCTGTGTACTGGGGGGTTTTGGGGAAATGAAGGAAAAATTTAAAAATAAATAAATAAATATCTTAAAAAAAAAAAAAAAGAACTGTCACAGACTGGAGGAAACTAAAGAGAAAGAACAAGTAAAAGCAATGTGGGATCTGAACTGGATTTTGGATAGACAAAGATCATCAGTGGGAATGACTATGGTCTAATTACCAGAATTGTATCAATGTTAATTTCCTGGTTTTGATAATTGTACTATGGTTATATAAGATGTTAACATTAGGGGAAGCTGGGTGAAGACTACAAAAGAACTCTGTTTTGCAACTTTTTTGGGTAATTATTTCAAAATAAAAAACAAAAGGCCCTCTGCTTGGAGGGTTTCTCAAAGTGTTTCCTTGTGCTCTTGAGATGTACACATTTTCTTTTACTCTGGTGACATCCCAAGGACTGAGCTGCAGGAAAGGCAGGACCGGGTCAAGGTGCTATCTTGTCAGAAAATAGAAACATTTGCAAGGCTTCATGCATTTTGAAACATTTTTTCCCCTCCTTTATTTTGTTTTGCAAATTACAAAAGTATGTTGTAGCAAGTAAAACAATACAGATACATAAATTAAGCAACTACTTTTATTTTCCTTCCCCACCAAGGTAACCCACGTTAATTAACACCTTATTATATATCCTTCCACACTTTTCTCTTTGTTCATATAAACAAACATGCATATATACACATATAGGGGTTTTAAGTTTTCTTAAAAAATAGATTCATATACATTATTCTGCAATTTGTTTTCTTCACTTAACAATATACCACGAACATCTCCACAAATTAGTTGAGTTCTAGCTCCCGCTTCAAATTTCTTTACACATTTGAGATATCATACTTGGTTCAGTCATTTATGTATTTTTTCTTTTTGGCTTTCATTTTCCCTCTCTGACTCCCCATAACCCACCTGCATCACCCACCTCCCCCCAACCCAATGCATACTCTTCCATACTTTTCTCCATGCGTATAAAATTGTACACAAACATATGGATACACGTTATCCCTCATATAAACACCTTGAGGCATTTTGTCGCTGATTTACAAAATCAGGGTCATACTTTACACACTTACTTGTACCTTGTTTTTTTTCAATCAAGAAAACATTGTGGAATTCCATTCAAGTCCACTAGCATAGTTGAATTGTCCACCTTAATGGGTAGATAAACATTCCATGGAATGGATACACTATAGTTCTTTCCTCTTCCAATTTCCCTGCTGATGGGCATTTACTTTGATTCCAGGTCTTTTGCCACCAGGAACAACTTTACAATAAATGTCCCTGTCCATCTGTCCTTTGCATTTTACTTCTAAGAGAAGCTTCCCCAAAGTGGCATGAGTATTTTAAGTTCTAATAGATGTTGCCAGATTGCTTTTCAAAAGAACTGTAACAATTTGTTTCCACCAACAGAGTATAAGAACATCCTCTGTTCTAACAGCGAGAAGCATTCCTGCTTTTTTGTTAGCTTGATTGCGTACTGTTATCTCATTATAAATTTAATCTGCATTCCCCAACAACTACTGAGCTAAATATTTTTTGATAGGCCCACCTGCCACTTGGATTTGCTCTTCTCACAACTGTCTATTGACATTCTTTGCCATGTTTTGCTATTGGATTATCTTTTTCCTGTCGATGTGAAGAGCACTTTTTCTCTGATGGGCTCTGCAAATATTTTTCCCAAAATTACTGTTTATGTATTGACGGTTGATGGCACCTTTTGCCATGCAAAGACTGTAGTTTTTATGTAGTCAAATATTTATTTTTTAATAGCTTTTCAGTGTCCTGTGTTGGTAAAGTTAATTTCCCCAACTCTAGATTGCACATGTAAGTCCCCTTTCATTTTCTTTCAAGAATTCTATTGTTATTTTAAAAATTTAAATCTCAAATCCACCTGGAATTTTTTTTTTTTCATATGGTTTGTGCTGTTAGTCTCACTTTACTTTCTTCCTGATTAAAAGCCAATTGTGGGGGCAGGCCCCATGGCCAAGCGCTTAAGTTAGGGCGCTCTGCTTCAGGGCCCCGGGGTTTGCCAGTTTGGATCCTGGGCATGGAGCTAGCACCACTCATCAAGCCACACTGTGGTGGCGTCCCACATGGAACTAGACTGACCTACAACTAGGACAGACAACTATGTACTGGGACTTTGGGGAGAAAAAAAAGGGAGGAAGATTGGCAACAGATGTTAGCTCAGGGCCAATCTTCAAGGAAAAAAAAGCTAACGGTGCCAGAATTCATTTTACTTTTTAAAAATTTTAAAAAATTTCTTTTTGCTGAGGAAGATTTTCCCTGAGCTAACATCTGCTGCCAATCTTCCTCTTTTTTCTTTTTCTTCTTGTGAGCTGCTGCCACAGCATGGCCACTGACAGAGGAGTGGTGTAGCTCTGAACCTGGGAACTGAACCCAGGCCACCAAAGCAGGGCGTGCCAAACTTAACCACTAGGCCATCAGGGCTGGACCCAGAATTCTTTTTAAATAAATGATTCCTCTCCCCTATGGTTTGAAATTCCACTTTTTCCATACATGAAAAAGCTCATCTACACTGAGGTCTATTTCAGGATTTTCTATTCTGTTCCACCGATGTATTTACCTGTTCCTTTGCCAACTCTATATTAATTTGATTAGAATGACTTCATGTTATATTCTGACATCTAGTATGAAATTTTCTTTTTCATATTTTTCTTGTCTAGATTCTCAAGCATTTATTTTTCCATATGGAATTTAAGATCATTTCACATAAAAAAAATCATTGAGCTTTAGGGTAATTTCAAAGGAAGTGCATATAAATTATTAGATGTTTACAGAGAAAAGCTCTTGATTTCTATTCCTTGCTTAGAAAATTATCTTTTTAACTAAAAACATTAGAGTCTCTTCATTTATTGGTATATAATCATATCATCAGTAAAAACAGTCAGTTTTACCTTTTCTTTTCCATTGTTTATACCTATTTAACTTTATTTTTTATTGCCTTCACTAGAACCTCTAAGACAATATTTAGTAAAAATGGATGACAGTGGACATCCTTTTCTCTACTACTATTAAATTTTTGATTTTTTTAAAAAAAGATTTTTATTTTTCCTTTTTCTCCCCAAAGCCCTCCAGTACACAGTTGCATATTTTTAGTTGTGGGTCCTTCTGGTTGTGCTGTGTGGGATGCTGCCTCAGCATGGCTTGATGAGTGGTACCATGTCCACGCCCGGCATCCGAACCAGCAAAACCCTGAGCTGCCAAAACAGAGTGTGCAAACTTAACCACTCGGCCAGGGGCTGGCCCCGAAATTCTTGATTTTTAAAAAATGGCTTCAGCATATATATGCTATGGGGTTTTGGTAAAGAAACTCTAAGTGGTTACCATCTATTACAATTAATCATGAAGTCATTTGAGTGGGAGCATTTTCAGTTATAGATCTTTAATCACTTTCCCAAATTCTTCAATGGTAATTGTTCTATCAAGTTTTCTACTTCTTACTGCAATTTTCATAACTTACACGTTGCTAGAAAAGCTTCTATTTCACGTTTTAGAAATATGTTGCTCTAGAGTTGCATGAAATATTTATTGTTCTTGTAATCACATCTTTATCTGTGATTATGTTTCTTATTCTGGATCAGGGATGCTTACAGGGAGGCAAATCTTGAACAATGTGGCCATTTGTCTTCTTACATGGATGACATGGCAGCTAAGGGAAGCGGACATTTTTCAAAGGTTGGAATGATGAAAAAACTTGGATTTAGCGTCCAGGACATTTACAGGGAAATTTATAGGAAAGAAAAGTGGATGTTGCTGAATTAATTTGCAAAAAAAAGAAAAAAAATCTCCTTCATTGGTCTTTGCATGAAACATTTCTGAATTATAAGACTCATATAAAGAGTGTCTCTCCTACTAACTTGCTGCAAGGCATTTTAAGCAAGACTAACAAAATAGGAATAGTGCACAGTATGCCAGGGACACGCTACGTCTGTCAAATAATGAATGTGCTGAGTAATCAAGTTTATAGTATTTTGTTCATCCAGTATCAGGTTGTGAAACTATTCCTTAGCTTTGCCTTTTCAACAATAATAAAGGCAAAATAAATAATTTATTATTTATTTAATGAATAATATTTATTAAATAATATTTATTTGTTATTTAATATATTTATTTATTTATATATTATCTTATATATTAAAATAATAAAGGCAAAACAAATGCCTTTTTAACATTAAAACCATCTAATAAAGCTTTTGGCTAACAAAAGACATTAAGAAACATTGCTTTGTTATTCAGAAAAGGGCCCAATAGCAAATGTTATAGCTATTTACATGTATTACAAAAGGGTGGAGAAAATGTAGCTGGTATAATGTGTCAAAGCTTTTTTTAAAATAGTTGACAATGTTATTATTATTATTATTGTTTTTGTATTGTTAAGACACAAAAAGACAGTGGTGATATTTAGAGTGGAAGTTTGGTGAATGGCATTCTACATACTGCGTGACATATGTGCTTGATATTCACAATTTATATTAAACTCACATTTATAATTCCAAAATATAAACAGTCTTATTATGTGGCTCACTGCGGAACATACTATAACATACGTCTAATTCTCTTCACATATATTTTGTATTCCATTTAATAATTTTTAAACTTCCTTAAGCCAGAGTGACCATGTTTATGTTTTAGAAAGTATTTTCTGTAATCTTTTGTATAAAATTTTCCATCACTATTGGAGCATGACTTCCTTTACTGTAAAACACTTTGTCCAAATTAATTAAATCAATGAGATTTCTCCTAAGGATAAATCCTCCACATAGCATGAAATAGGGTATCTTGCTCAAGGCTTTCCCACAATTATTAGGTTTTCATTCCTATAGGCATTCTTCCGAGCATGAATTTTCTGATGTCTACTGAGGTTTGGCTTCTGGTAGAAAGCTTTGCCACATTCATTGCATCCATAGGGTTTTTCTCCGGTATGAGTTCTCCAATGTTTATTGAGGCATGACTTTTGGCTGAAGGACTTTCCACATTCTCTGCAACGATAGGGTCTTTCTCCTGTGTGTATTTTCAGATGTACATTGAGGTATGACTTCTCACCAAATGACTTCCCACATTCACTGCATACAAAAGGTCTCTCTCCTGTATGTGTTCTCTGATGTTCTCTGCGGTGTGACTTCTGGGTGAAGGCTTTCCCACAAAAAAAACATTCAAAGGGTCTTATCCCACTGTGAATTCTCTGGTGTTTAATGAGGGTTGACTTATGTGAAAAGGCTTTCCCACAGTCAGTGCATTCATATGGCTTCTCCCCAGTGTGACTTCTCTGATGCCTAATGAATTCAGACTTGTAGCAGAAGGCTTTCCCACACTCACTACAGGTGTGGGGCTTCTCTGTAGGTGGAACTCTCTTACGTTTGTACACAAGAGAATTGCTTACTGCTGGTTTATATGTAAGTGCTGGGTTATGGCTGAAAGCTTTCTCACAGTGACTGCATTCCCAGAGTTTTTCTCCATTAGCTCTTCGATCATGGTTTGTATGCTGTAACAATTTCCCATATCCATAGCACTCATCTTGCTTTTTTGAATAGTTTCTCTTAAAACCAATCAAGTCTAGGTTATGGTTCACACTCTTTCCACAAGGGTCCCAGTTATTGGAGTTTTGAATTGAAGGAAAAAGATCAGTGCTCCGAAGTGATATTTTCCCAAACTTATTATTTTCATGGCTTCTTTCCTTGGGCAGTGTTTTCTTGCTGATGAATGCATCTTGCCTCAAAAGTATGTCTTGTCGTCTTTTCCTCTGGACATTAACTTGCCAAATGTTTTCTGGAGAAAGTACAGCAAACCTTTCTATATGAATCTTTGTATTATTATTATCTGGAATAAAAACTACTTGAGAAATGCTCTAAGAATTTAAAGGGTGCACAGTACAGAAATAGAGAGCACAAACCGTAACTAAAGGCACCGATGCAGGGAAGAGTGTGGTATGAGTAGGGAAGACTCAGAACACTGGCACAAATGGAATCAACATGTCATAGAGTACAGAAAGAAATAATTTTGAGGAAGATGGGATGATATTATAGAGCAATGGTTGGTAAACATGTTCTTACATAGCCAGACTAGATATTTTAGGCTTTGTGGGCCATTTGGTCTTGGTCACAATTACTCAACTCTCTCATTATATTGTGGGAACACAGCCAGTATGTAAACATAAGGAGGCAGCTGTGTTCCAATAAAACTTCATTCACAAAATCAGGTGGCCAATCTATAGGCCATAGTTTGCCAATCCCTGTTATAGAGGAAAGGGGTTTAAATGTCATACAGCATCTTGTACTCAATGGTTCTCAATGGTTCCTATGGTTCTCAGCGGGCAACTTCAGCCTCATCTGGGAACTGATATGCTGACAGATGTGCAGTATCCTGGGCCCCAGCCCAGACCTACTGAATCAGAATCTGCATTTTAACAAGTTGCCCAACATATTAAGAGTTTGACAAGCACTAATAAAGCAGTCATCAGAGAGGTTATCATATTCAGCTAGTTAGTGAGAATATAAATGGCAGGGCTCTAAGATGAGCTAGATGAAAGAAGGAATCAACAAAGCTAACCAGAACTTAAAGCAGGAGCTCCTAACTTGGTGGATAGAAATCAGGGGAGGTGCGAATTGGGATAAGAAAGAAAATCACATCTTTATTTTCATTAAGCTCTAACAACAATTGCACATTTCCTTCAATGATGAATGTGAGCAACAAAACACAGTGGTATTAGTTCCTGTGACTTGTACTAGTTTGTGAATATGGTATTTTCATGTCACACAGTTGTTGAAGATTTCTCAAAATATGTTTACAATCATCTCTACTTTGACAGCATGAGTTATTACACCTGATGCTAGATCTCATTATTTAATGTATAAATAAGGAAGTACACCCACACTATTATCATATATTTTGAAAACATTTTGCTATTGCATTTTCTAACTTTATTTTATAGAATTACCGTATTTTATTAATTTGTTTCTTTTGTAATCTTATGGATTTTATTTTATTTTTCATATGTAAAAAGGGGTCTATTAGGCTTCACCAGAATGCCTAAGAGTTCCACGGCACAAAAACAATTAAGAACCCCAGACTTAAAGACATTCAGGCATGAGGTAATAATTTGGGTTCAATTTTAGGAGATGTTAGTGGAAAATGAAAAGTAGGGAGGAAGATTTAAAGCTATTAATCATATCAAAGAAAAAACCAACAACAAAACCAGCATATATGGATAGAACAATTAGAGAGGGTGGTAGAGACAGAAGATTCAAAATGAGCACATGGTAGCAAAGCTCTGGAAGAGGTAAGGGGAGATATGTGCATGCATGTACTTGCATGGGGAGGCGGGGAGCAGGGGTGAAGGGGAGGTAGCAAGTAGGAATAAGGATGCCTTCAGTTTTTACCATACAAAAACCAGAGGTAAGTGGACACAACTGTGGAGATGTGGTAAAATGAGGGGCTGGGTGGTACAAGGAGGACAAAAGGATGCAAAATGGCAAAGAGGCCAGTTGTGAGCATCATGTGGCCCCAGAATGGATGACTTTTTTGAAGGAGTTACACCACTGAGAAAAGTTTGGAAAACAGAAAATGTAGCAGCCCCTTGGAAGGAAAAGGCTGAGCTGCAGTCAGGGAAATAGAGGATACAGAACACTTATAAAGGAGGGCTGACTAGATTTTTTTTTTTTTTGGCAGTTATATAAAATTCTTCAAAGAGGGAAAAGAAAAGCAGCTGATAGCCAGGTTACAATGGCTTCAGGACAGTTGATGAGCACAGTTTAATGAAGTAAAATACACCCCAGAGGGCACTGGAGTGTGATGGTTAAGAGCACTGGTTCTGGAGCCTGACCACCTGGGTTCAAATCCCCATTCGGTCCCTTACTTTGCTATATGTTCTTAGACAAGTTTCTTAACCTTTCTGTGCTCGTTTCCTCTTTTGTAAATGGGGTAATAAAGGCTGGATACTGCACAGGCATTGTAAGAGTCGAACGAGTTGATATATATATATAGGGCTGAGAACAGTCTTGGTACATAGTGAGCACACCCTGAATGCTGACCAATAATCCTAATGCTGTTTCTGCTACTACTACAACCAGTGAAAGCTAGATGGTAGTAACTTCAAAGACATCATTTTGGGGAGAAGCATGAGAATGACTTGAATGGTTTGGGGGTTTCTATAATACTTAATTCAATTATGTGATTACAACACCAAGTATAAGTGGCATAAAGAGATCTGGGAACAGATGGCACTGACTCTTCTTGCTAAGCCCATGACTTGTGGACAAGCAGAAGTTCAGAGGCATCCTTGAGAGTGGGCTACTAATACTCAGAGTACCATGGGTATTGTTGGGATATTTTACAGAGCTGATGGGAGAGTTGTTCTGAATGTTAAATTGTAGTGGTTATGACGGGCTAAGTTCCACCATCTCCTTCGCCACCCAACTCACCCTGATCACCTCCTGGAGTTCACTGCTTCCTCCTCTGTGACTTGAGGAAATTAAAGGATTACGAGGTAACTTAAGAGATTAAGGAAAGGATGGGAAGTGAGATTGTGGGTATGGCAGGCTGGTCTGAGCATTTTACTGGGAAACTGTTAGAATAGAGAATAGGAAAGGACAAGCAAGAATGACAGAATCATAGAAGCTTATTTGTAAGAATGCCTGAATGTGAGAGAGAAGGTGACTGATAACCTCAAGAGAGAGATCAAGGATTCTGGAGAAAGGGAGATGGAGCAAGCACACAGGGAGAGGTGAGATCTAAAATAGAGAGAGGAAGGACACCGGATACAGGAGGTGGGATGCATAGAGGTTGAAGGGTCATCAAGAAGGCTGAAGCTCTTAGAGAAATGTCTCCAGCTACTTGCAAAGCTGTAAGGCTTCTAAGAACTGGATCCTAAACAAAATTCCAAAGGTGCCAGCCTCCCATGGCTCTTCTTTTGCTGGATTTATCACTTACCCTGACAGTGGCAGCCTGAGCACGCTGCCTCACAAATCCACGGTGCTTCTTCCTGCTCCAGTCTGAGGATCACATATGGTTTGGTGCCTTCATAACCTGTTCCAGGGAAATGATGCTGGCCTTGGGCTGAGCTCCTTGGTCTTCAGGGCCACTCAGGCAGCATAAAAGGCTGCATGACAGACTCTGTACTGGGAAGAGACTGTACACATACCTTGTCCAGAACCCAGAAGGAATTAGTTATCCAGGCCCGTTGAAAGTCAAGCCAAACTCACCCAGGCAGCACAGAAGGGTTAAGAATGCACACTGTGCAGCCAGACTGCGAGGGTTCAAGTCCTACTGTGGCTCCACTGTGTACTACGTAGGTGCCACTGGGCAAGTTACTTCACCTTTCTGCCTCAGTTTCCAAATGTGTAAAATAGTGGTACTAATTGTACCTGCCTCATAGGGCTCTTATGAAGATTAAATGAGTTGATATTTTAAAAGCTAAAACAGTGTCTGGCACATAGAAATTGTTTAGTACTTCAGAGGCTCTAGGTACTTCAGTTATTTTTAGCAACTGAAAGAGGGAAGGTGGTCATTCAAGCATAATCTAGCTTGTGTGGCGGAGCTGTTCTCACCCACTGAGACGAGGTGGCTGTAGGTCTCCAGCATCACATCCCGGTACAGGGCCCTCTGAGCAGGATTCAGCCTGTGCCACTCCTCTTGAGTGAAGCCCACAACCACATCCTTGAATGACACAGGTCTCTGCTGAAGATGAAATGACACTGAGTCATGGGGGAAAAATGTAGGTGGGGTGGATGGTACTGGTTTTTTATAATGTTCATAGGTCAGAGCTTACAACATTCATTTATCTATCTAGAATGCCTTTTCTACTCCCGGCTCTGGACTATATACGGTGGGGAAAATGACAATCACATTGGAAGCCACTGTCATTTATCAACTGAAGATCCACTGTGTGTTTAACCCAGTGCTGGTTGCTTGGGACACAGTCGTGGATGGTTCCTGACCTCAAGGAGCTCACAGCCTGGAGAGAGAGCAATATGTAAAGCCATCAGGGTGACAACAGAAGAGCTGTGATGGTAGGACATCTAGGTGATGGCATGCAGGAAGTGAATGGTCCATTAAATGCTTCAGGGTCTAGTTAGGCTTCAGAGCTAAGGCATACGTGGGGCTGAGTCTTCCCTGCAGGGAGATGGAGAAACTGCATCCCTTGCAGAGGGAGCAGCATCAACAAAAGCATGGGGGAGTATAAGGGTGATCCTAAGGGCAGCAAGTCACTCAGCAACAGGAGAAGAGTGTATAGAGGCCTGGGAGTGATGGACCTTAAGAGAACTAGAAATCTATTAAGGGAGGGTGTGTGTGTAGAAAGTGCATTCTAGAAGCGATGTGGTGAGTTTCTCGCATTCTGTGTCATGTGGTACTACGGTAACTTTAAGCAGACTGAAAAGTTAAGGATACACAGTGTATTCCTAGAGTACCCACTGAAATCACAGTGCAAAGAGGTGGACTGAAGTAAACAAAGTAACAGAATTCTAAAAAATACTCCATTAATCCACACACACACACAGGAGGAAAGAGGAAACAGAGGAACAAAAGCAGATGGGACAAATAGAAAACTAAGTACTAAAAAGATAGATATAAATTCAATTATATCTATATTAAACTATATTAAATTATAATGTAATTTACTATATGACTAACCACTCCAAAAAGGCAGAGATTGTCAGACGGGATAAAAAAGCAATGCTACCTACAAGAGATACAAAACTCACAGGGAGTTAGAAAGTAAATGGACAGAAAGAGAAGAGTGACCTGGAGGGAAGCAAAAGGATAGACTCTGTAACAACCCAGGTGGAAGATGACGCTCACGGGCAGGACAGTAGCGGCGGGGTAGAGAAGGACCACTGTAGAGAAGAGCAGAACCTGCACCTTAACTGCCTGGGGGGGGAGGGGTAAGGATCACCACCCAAGTATCTCAAAGGCCCCTGGGTGATGGTGGTAAATCAGAGACGAGAAAAACAGCAGAAGCAGAGAGGATGTGTTGTGTTGGACGTGTCTGTGGGACACACAGGTGGAGACACGGCAGGCAGCGGGATGGACACATGAGTCTTGTGTCAGGAGCAAGATCCGGAATGGAGCTAAAGCTGTGCCAGCCATCAGCACAGAGGTGGTGGCTGAGTTATCAAACTGTGCAGGATCTCTCAGCAGAGACAAGAGGAGCAAAGGGCCCAGGAGTCCCAAGGGACACTAACATTAAGAGGCCAGCGGCAGAAGAGTTCAGTTGGAGAGCCAGAGGTGGAATAGAATAGTCTGGAAAGAAGGCCTCACAGCCTGGCAAGCCTCAGATTTCACTGGCTGGGCAGTCCTCTGGTTTAGTGCAGAGAATAAATTCTCCAAAGAGCCTGCTGCCCTGGGACCAGATAGCTGCTGAGGGAGAACCACGAGTTCTAACCTATGGCACCTGTAATATTGTGATATAAGAAATATATATTTGGTCTTCCTCCCTGGATCCTGGCACAAAGCTTCTTAAACACTTGTTACTTTCTTTTTTTAGGAAGATTAGCCCTGAGCTAACTATGCCAATCCTCCTCTTTTTGCTGAGGAAGACTGGCCCTGAGCTAACATCCGTGCCCATCTTCCTCTACTTTATATGTGGGACGCCTACCACAGCATGGCTTGCCAAGTGGTGCCATGTCCGCATCCAGGATCCGAACCAGTGAACTCCAGGCCGCCAAAGCTGAATGTGCGCACTTAATGCTGCGCCACTGGGCCAGCCTTGTTAACTTTCTCATAGGGGTAACAGGAGTGTCTTTTGTCATTCATAACAAGCCCCTGTCACCCACACCTGAGTTTATGCTAATGCTCTGACTCTTTGAGGACTGGGGCTGGCTGCCAGAGGAAGCAACTCTGTGATTAGAGGGTTAGAACCTTTACCTCCCCACCCCCACCCCTACCTCTGGGGTGAGGAGAGCGACTAGAGATGGAGCTAATCAAAGGCCAATGATTTAATGAACCATGCCTCCATACTGGAACCTCTGTAAAAGTTCTCCAGACCTTCCAGGTTGTTGAACTCATCTGGGAGGGTGTGCACACCACATTCCAAGGGGACAGAAGCTCCTGTGCTCAGGACCCTTCTGTACCTAGCCCTACGTACCTCTTCACCTGGCTGTTCACTTGTATCTTTTATGACATCCTTTATAATAAACATGTAATAGTAAATATAGAGTTTCCCTGAGTTCTGGGAGTCATTATAGCAAATTATCGAGGAGGGGGTCATGGGGATCCCAGACTTACAGCTAGTTGGTCAGAAGTTCAGGTGACAATCTGGGATTTGTGATTGGCGTCTGAAGTGGGGGGCAGTCTTAGGAGACTGAGCCCCTAACTTGTAGGGTGTGGGCTAATTCTGGATTGAATTAAATTGTAGGACACCCAGTCGGTGTCCACAGAGAACTGGAGAATTGCTTGGTGTGGGGAAAAAACTCTACTCCTGTGAGTAGAGGAAACAGGTTTTTCTTTAGTACATGTGCTATATCTTCAAGTGACTGCATTGTAAAGAATTTAACTTGCCCAAAGAGAGGTCTGATCTTTGCCCTCAGCTCCTGAGAGCTGAGCCCCTGGAATGCCTGCTTGATAAGAGTGTCTTTGTTTACCTGGGGGCCTAGGGCCACACCTGAGTGTAACAAGGTCACTTCTGGTGGGGTCTTTGGGTCACAGGCATCAGCTCAACCTCCAGAGGGGTTGGAGACTGAGGTCAGCAGTCAGTCATGTCTATGTGACCAACCTCAAAGAAAATTCTGGACACCAAGGATTAGGTGAGCTTCCCTGGTTGGCGATTCTGTGTGTATTGTCACACGTCGCTGCTGGGAGAATTCAGCTTTGTCCACAACTCCACTGGGAGAAGACACGTGGAAGTTCCATGTGTGAAACTCCCCTGGACTCTGCCCCAAGTGTCATTTTTCCTGGCTGATTTTAATGTATATCCCTTTGCTGTAATAAACCATAACTGTGATTATAACATTCTGTGAGTCCTTCCAGTGAATTATCAAACCTGAGGGTGGTCCTGGGAACCTCCAACGTTGCAACTGGTGTCAGACGCGGGGTGGTCTTGCGCACTGCTCACTGCCTTCACAGTGACTGACAGACACAAGAGCAATGGAGCAGGGCAGTTACAAGCGTGGACTATGGGGCAGGACTGATGCAGGCTCAGCCACTAAACGAGTGACCCTGGGAAAGCTACTTAACCTCTCTGTGCCTCAGTTTCCCCATCTGTTAAATGGAGATAATAACAGTGTGTGTCTGTTAGTTATTATGACGTTTAAATAAGTTAATATGTGTAAAGCCCATAAACCGTGCCTGGCACATGACAGCACTATATAAAGGTGCCTATTTTATTTAAGTAGAAAAATATTGTAAATCAATGTTTTAGAATCTATATGAAATGGAAAACAATTCTAAAGGACTGAAAAAGAGATGGGGACCCAGGGCCTGTGCCTGGGCATTAGTGCGGTGGCTAGCTCTAGTACACTGTGCAGTACAGGGATACCCGTGCACCACCTCTGGGAGTGGCCCAAGGAAAGAAGCATTGACAGGACCCCACAGAGGTTGAAGGGGCTCAGAGCAGCCCAGACCTGCACTCCACGCTCAAGAGGCTGTAGGTCTCCTTGAAGAATGCTGCATCTTACAGTGGCGCCTGAGCAGTGGCCCAGGCAGATGGATCTGAAGGCAGGGTGGAGGCCATGGATGCTGGTACATGAGACCCTAAGACCCACACAAAGGCCATGGCACAGAGCAGGTGCCAACCAGACACCCTCTCTGATGCCAGAACAACACACCATGATAACAAGAGAGCAGCCATCAGGCTTCATCACAGAGCACAGGGCTTGGCTCAGTAACAGGCTCTGGATCAATAGTTCCCAAATAGAGCTAACTGGATGGAATGGGATGGCATGGGATGGGATGGCGTGGGGTAGTGTCGGGTGAAATGGGATGGGATGGAACAGAACGGAATGGAATAGAAAAGAACAGAATAAAATAGAAAAGATGTAATTCTGCACCCAAAGACCAGGCCATTTTCACCAAACACAGGGATGAAGAGGAGAGAGATGGAAGAAACACTAAGGTTGTAAAATGAGCACAACTTGGTGACTGAGTGTGAGAGGGGGAAGGTGGGGAGAAGTCAAGGATAAATCTCAGAGTCCCAGCTTGCCTGGTGGGAGGGTACCATCTCCTGAGATGGGAAAGTGGGAAGAGGAGACGTAAATCAAGAATTCAACTTTGTACATGTTAAGTTGGAAGTGCTGTGGGGCAGCCAGGCGTGGATGTTGATCACGTCATGGCCAAAGGGGTCTGAAGCTCTTGGAAGAGGCCTGGGCTCAGATACGGATGAGGAAGTCATCTGCAGACTCACCCCATCCAGCCAAGAGAGGAAACACCCCCGGGCGCCCCAGAGAAGGTTCAAACCCACAGGAACACCAACGTCTAAGAGATAAGCAGAAGGAAAGAGAAACCACAGAAGATGCTGAGAAGCTGTCATGAGAAAGTAGGGGAGCAGTGTCCCTCACATGAACGACAGACCTCAGTGATTATAACAAACACATAATACGGACAACCAGTCTGTTCCAAGCACCTCACAGGTATTAACTTATTCAGTTCTCACATCTACTCTCTGAGGTAAGTGCCATTTTCCTCCATCACAAAGGGAAAACTGGGGCACAGAGAGATTCAAGGCCTTGCCCAAGGTCATACAGAGGGTAAGGACTGGGATTCAAACTCAGCAGCTGGTTCCAGGGTCTGTGCTCTTAAGCAGTACATGGAGCTGCCTTTCACACAGAAGAAGCGGGCAAAAGGCAGGGTCTCATTTGGCAGAACAATAAAAAAGCATCCTCTGATTTCAGCCTCAGCAAGTGCCTTAGGCCAGAAAACTTTCAGTTAAGTGGGAAGAGAGGACACTGGACTCATGAAGGAATGGGTAACAGGATGTGGAAACATCAAGAGTAGGGAAATCACTGAGTTCAGGAGATGAAGGCAGCCAGGAGAGAAAGCTTAAGGACTTTGTGGTCTGGAACTCATGATGGTGTCTAGGGTTGGCAGCACTGACAGTGGCTGGGGGGACAAGAGAAAAGACCTAGGAAATGACAGAGGACAGGCCTCCAGAAAAGATGTCCCTGCTTGAGGAAGGCCTCCGAGGAGGTGGGAATGCAGGAACTCAGGGCTGAGGGGATGTCTTGTCAGGACACAGGGCCCTTCACCTTCAAAAGATGGGAACACCTCATATTGAGACTTGCTGGGGAATAAGATGTTCATCTGTTTGCTGCCAAACCAGCAAAGACACTTATGGCGAATAAAAGTTAATTCCGACGCCAGGCAGTTCGTCTGTTCCTCAGTCTAGATCCAGGCTGCAGCTGCCTTAGATCATACTCAGGACTTCCGTGAACTTGGAGGAATCCTCCTGCCCCCCAGAAAAGAAATAGTATTTGCATTTTCACTTTCTTCTAACTGAAATTCAGCATTTTCTTCATTACATATGTGGGCCACAAAGTACAGAGGAGTTAACACTTCCTGCAACTTTGACACCGAGAGGTGTGTGGAGAGGAGGCTGTGGTGTTCCAGCCAAACCCCCCTGCAGGTACTTCTCCCAGCTGCTAGAATGGTGGCTGCTGCAGGCTTGAGACCTTTTGAGAACCGCCCTTGGCCAAAGGCCTTGCCCCCATTCAGAACACGCAGGGCCATCCCAGCTCCAAAGCATCTTGTAAGTTCAGCTGGTGCCTCTGTTCAAAGACTCCCTCCGCCCGATCCTGCTTCCTTCACTGCCTTACAGGTACCGCAAGTCTCCCTGGTCAACCTCCTGGTGCAAAGCTCCATCTCCAAGTCTGTCTTCCCGAGAACCCGGGCTATGACAAAGTAGATATGCTTGACATGCATATGGTTTTTCCAGAACAGTTTCCCCAAGAAAGGAAACTAGGCTACTTAACATCACACTTACCTGGTACTCAATCATTTTCTGCTGTTCTTGGAAAAAGATCTGAGGCCTGTGAAGATAGAGATTGGGGGGAGGAGGGTGGAGAAAGAGAAAACATGGCTGTGAGGGACTGGGCTTGTCCTGGAACTTGCAAATTCCCTGTGTAAATCTTGTACAAAAAAATCACACTTTAAATCACTGTGGTAGAAGAAAAAAATGGTGCCATTCACCTCAGAATGTGGATACACAAAATAGACGTCCCAGAAAGTAAAAGCTGCTACCAAGTAAGAACAGAAAGTTATTAAAAAACAAAACTCTTTAAATGTTTACATAACTGGCCCCATGTATATACTGGAAAAGGGTTTCTATAACTTTTATGAAAATATTACGAAGAACTCAAAGGAAAGTAAAATAACTGTATAACATTAGTAAAACTAATGGTTACTTAAACTATGACATAAATAATTACTGTAAAGCTAAACCTTGTTATCATCCAGTAGATTATTAGTGTTGTCATTAAAAATAATTTTCAACAAATGAGAGCAAAGAACAGTTACTTTTAATTAAGATGCTTAATTAAAGAAATAAGTGCCTTAAATTATAAAAGAAAAAAGGTAAATCATAGTTTAAGAGTGTAAATAAGTATTTTATGATGTTCTTGAATGTTTAATGTTAGAACTATATTCAAATTATCAATGGGATAACTCACAATTTTTAAAATTATATCTTTTGGGTAGTGAACATGATGTAGTCTACACAGAAATAGAAATGCAATGATGCACACCTGAAAATTATATACTGTTACTGCAATAAAAATAAATACATAAATAAATAAAACAGGAAAAAAAATTCTCTCTCTTGTGGCTGTTCTCACTGACACAACCTAGGGCAGTGTCATCCCCACTGGAAAAGCCTGCTGGTACCCAGATTCTGATCTCTACCACTGATTTTCACTAAAAAGAGCCAGAGCTCCTGGGAAAATGGCTCAGTCCACATCTGGAGCAAAGAATACAAGATGCACTTCTGTAATCTTGAATGTTAGAAAGCAAGGAGGGGCCGGCCACGTGGCTGGGTGGTTAAGTTCGCATGCTCTGCTTCAGTGGCCCGGGATTTTGCCAGTTCAGATCCTGGGCATGGACCTAGCACCGCTCATGAAACCATGCTGAGGTGGCATCCCACATAGCAGAACTAGAAGGACCTACAACTAGAATATGCAACTATGTAATGGGGGGCTTTAGGGAGAAGAAAAAAAAAAGAAAGCAAGGACACTTCTTCAGTGGATAGGTCCTAGCAAGGCGGCACAGAAGCCAGCCTCAAGGGGCTCCCACCACGCAGGAAGAGTGCCAAGAGAAAACCGGCCTTATCTACCGAAGCTAATTATACGACTGTCACGGCCTAGTAGTTCCATATGAACACACGTTCACAGAGTTTCAGCCTATAAAATCTATGAATTTGCAGTGATATTCAAAAATCACGATACTAAAATCTTTTCTCTTAAAATAACTGGTACTGTAGTTAGATATGACTACTATAACACGGAGGCTCCCTATTTCCAAAATATCCACATATTAGGAACTAAGGAATTAAACGGGTACAAAATATTAATAAAGAATGTTCAAGTTTTTCATTCACAGAAACCTTATAAATAGGTCTGAATATCATGTGCCAATAATCTACAGCCTGGAATTGAAAACACACAGGAGCAGCAAGACTCTCACACATGGCTGATGGGACTGTAATTGGGTTCAACCAGTTTGGAAAACTGTTTGGCCATATCTACTAACACTGAACACAGAATCCCCTACGACCCAGTGGTCCCACTCCTGGGTATATACGAGAGAAAGGAATGCATACTGTTCAACAGAGGCTTGTATAAGAATGCTCATAACAGCTTTGATCATAATAAGTCAAAACTAGAAACTGCCCAGGAGAACTAGATAAATTGTGGTGCACTGGGCAAGGCAACACTACTTAACAATAAAAAAGAATGAACTGCTGATATCCATCCATGCAAGAGCATAGATAAATTTCACAGACATTATGTCAAATGAAAAAAGTCAAACACAGGACAGAATATACTAGAATATTCTAGAAAATTCCAGAAAAGGTAAAACTAATACTTGGTGACAGAGTCATACTGTGGGGAGGGGATGGATATTACTGAGATGAAGCTGGAAGAAGCCTTTTAAGGAAGGGGGTCAGCAAACTTTTATTTAAAGGGCCAGATAGTAAATATTTTAGGCTTTATGGGTCACATGGTGTTTGTCACATCTACTCAATTCTGCTGTTGGAGCATAAGAGCACAAGCTGTGACAAGACAAGTCCTGCATCCACCAGAACTGACTCACATCTTTGAGAGCAGGAAGACCATCTCACCACAGGGGGGCAACAAGTGTTTGTCTCCTGACTGGCATTCTTGAGCTGTGGCCCTGACAATTAACAACTCAAACTTTGTCAACCTCACAGCTGATTCCCACCAGAGCCAGGCTTTGCTCACTGAGAAAGAGTCTAGAAAGACAACTTTTAAAATAGAGCAACTAATACCTCTCCTTTGCAAAAAGAAGAGACTGTAACAAGAAAAGAGCTTTTCCTGAGTCTAGCGCATTCACACCGTTTGACTGTCCTAGTGTCCTTTCCTGTAAAAACAGGTCTAGCAAATTACTCTCCTGAGTTTTCCTTACATAATCATGAATAATCCATCCAACATTAATCAGTGACTGCCCTATTCCTACAGTTGGTCAATTCTGAGATGGAGGAAAATTAATTACAAGAGGCTGGGAAAACCTGGCCGCAGCTGGAATAACAGACTTTATTTAATTATACACTTTCATGTGTCAAGGAAGCTGGAGAATTGAAAAATTACTTATTCCGGGGGCCAGCCCTATGATCGAGTGGTTAAGTTCGCATGCTCCTCTTCAGCGGCCCAGGGTTTCGCCGATTTGGAGGCTGGGAGCAGACCTAGCACTGCTCATCAGGCCACGCTGAGGCGGCGTCCCACACAGCAGAGCTAGAAGGACCTACAGCTAGAATACACGGCTATGTACTGGGGGGCTTTGGGGAGAAGAAGAAAAGAAAAAAAAAAAGAGATTGGCAACAGATGTTAGCTCAGCACCAAACTTAAAAAAAAAATTACTTATTCCAACCATCACATAAGTATAAAAGGACTTCAGTGTCCCTAAATATTAAGCTTGCCCTCATCTGCACTGAAGGTGAAATCCCTGTAATATTATCAACTTCCAGCTGAGACGATACCATCCCTACTGGGCGACGGGCAGTAAACTTTCTTAGTAAAACAGCCTAGAGACACCAAAGGGTAATAACATGGAGGGTTCACCAGGCCAAACTACCTCAACATAAGCACTGAGGCCCAAGGCCACCCAACATCCTGAGCTACTCAATTATTTAAAAGGCAGGAGGAATCAGAGACAACATCTTAGAGTTGGGAAAAACTGTTCTTTGCTTTCCTTATAGATTGCGAGAGTGTTGATGAAGAGCTGTTCAAGTTACTACTAAGGAAAAATAGAGATTCTCCGAGAGGAAGAAATTACCGAAGAAGCCATTCTGAACCTCTGAAAGAATGTGAATAAAATTGTGAGTTTCTCCTTTTAAGGAAAGTGAATAGCTTTCGATTAGTTTAGTGATGAGCACAAGACACTAAGGGGGAAAATTGTTTTAAAATGAATACATTTTCCTAGCTTTGTTTTATGCAAGTCCTTTCTCACTAACCTACTGACAAATCATCTTTGGAAACAGGGAATAATTCTAAAGTGTTGGAAATATTCTCCATCATGATCTGGGTGGTGGGAACATGAGGGTGCACATAGGGAAAAATTCAAAACCCTACAATGTGAAGTGAGTTAATGTTTTACTTTTCTCTTCATGGACAATAAATATCCCTTATATTTTTTTTTGGAGGAAGATTAGCCCTGAGCTAACATCTGCTGCCAATCCTCCTCTTTTTTGCTGAGGAAGACTGGCCCTGAGCTAACATCTGTGCCCATCTTCCTCCACTTTATATGTAAGATGCCTACCACAGCATGGCTGCCAAGTGGTGCCATGTCTGCATCTGGGATCCGAACCGGCGAGCCCCGGGCCACCGAAGCAGAATGTGCGCACTTAACCGCTGCGCCACTGGGCCAGCCCCTCCATTATCTCTTAATTGTATCAAAATGCTTTGAAATATTGTACAGGTCATAAAACATGGTTAGTGTGAAAGTGGCATTTAACTACTGTATTAGTAATGGAAGAGACTGAGCAGGGAGCTTATTGTACCTAAAAATTTTTTTCTTTACTGAGGTATAATTTATATTTAATAAATGAACCCATTTTAATTGTACAATTTGATGGGTTTTGACAAATGTATTTGCCCGTGGAGCCACCACACAATCAGGATATGGAACATCTCCCTCTCCCCAGAAAGCTCCCTTACAATTCTTCCCTATGTGCCTTTTGTTAAGGGACATCCTGTTCACAAGACACAATAACGAATTCGTCTTAATAGTGTTAAGATGAACTATTCAGATTCCTGTCTCTTCTACAGAAGAAATACAAAGTGACTTTCTTGAATGTTAAATAAAACACAGATACTTCTTTGCTTAAATACTACATTAATCAAGTTATATCAGTAAGTCAAAAGAGTAGTTTAAAAAAAGGTAAAATCTACTGTTTGAATTTCATTTATATGAAGGTCAGAAACAGGTAACCCTGAGCGATGTGATGGCTTTGGGTGGGCATTGCTTGGGAGGGGCAGGGGAAGCCTTTAGGGCGCTGGAAATATTCTCTATGGTGATCTGGGTGGTGGGTACACGAGGGTGCACGTAACGGAAAAATTCATTAAGCTACACGCTGTTCTCTCTGCAAGTTACATCTCAAGCTTTTAAAAAATAAAAAAACCACAATCCTACCCATTATTTAAAAAATAAACGTGTAGAAAAAGTTCTGGTATGAAATACAATAAAATGCCATTGGTGATTCAATTTGGGTGGCAGAATGTTTCTTACTCTAATCTGTAACTGCAACACACACACACGCATGCACTTCATTATTTACATATGTCATTCATTGTCCCACTGCCTTTTTTCATCATGAGGGAAGCTACAGGAGAGTTGGAAGAGGGGGAGGGGGTTCTCTGAGAGAAGTGAACTGGCCACTAGAAACTGAGCTGTCAAGAAAGGCCCGGGGCCCAGCAGGCTGAGACAGTTAACCCAGCTTTTTGGCTCACTACTCGCTCCTCTAGGAGAGGGCCCTCCCCCACCCTCCTGGACTTGGCACTCAGCCTGGGCCTGGTCTCCACGGCTGCGGGTTCCAGCTGAGTGGTGGTGTGGCAAATGTGCTGGCGAATGTGTGTCCAGAGGCCTGGGTTCTGGCTCTGGCTCTGTGACCTGGGAAAATCACTTCTTTCCCCTTTAAATGAAATGGCAGCATCAAAGGATGCTAAAAACACTGGCAAATTTGGATGAAAAACAGGGTATCTAAATATCTCCCAAGATATTTATTAATTATAAAAGGGAAAATAGTAACCTTACTCTTGAGAAACCTGGAAGATATCACCTTAACACTAAGTGATTGCTTAACATCAGAAGTGACAAGATATATAACATTACATGCCCCCTGATATGATGCACCGTGAGGGCACAACATCCCTTCTGCGGTATTCTGCCCAAAATGCATACCTGACTCTAATCATGAGGAAACATCAGACACAACCATACTGAGTGACTCTATACAAGATAACTGACCTATCCTCTTCAAAAATGTCGACTTCATGAAAGACAAGGACTGGGGAACTGATCCCGATTAAAGGAGACTACAGGGATATGTCAATAGAGGGAACATGTGATCCTGAACTGGATTCTGGAATGAAAAAAGAAAAGGTGCTATGAAACAACACTAACGGTTGACATCGGGACACAGACTGTGGATTAGATAATAGTATTCAATCACTGTTAACTGCTTGATTTTGAAAATTGTACTGCAGTTATATGAGAAAATGTTCTCATGCTTAGGAAATACACACTGAAGTATTTTCGGGTAAAGGAGCACCATGTCTGCAACTTATTTTCAAATGCTTGAGAAAAAAAGGATAAAAATAATATATATTTATAATAACAACATTATATATATATATATATATACACATATACACACACACACATAGAGACTAGCGTGAGAGTGTAAACGTGGTTTTATCTGTGTGAACCTAGATAAAGGATACATAGGAGGCCACAGTAATATTCATGCAAATTTTCCAAATAAAGTTTAATTAAAAAAAAAATCTATAGATACAGTAGGTCCATAGATCCCGCCACTACCATTCTGAGAATGCAGATTCTTCTGCCCCTTGGTTAGGAAGGAGTGAACTCCCCATGTTCACAGAGGCCAAGAAAGGCGGCAAAAATCACAGGGGAGCAGCTAAGAGTCTAGAAAGGGCCAGCAACAACAAGAGAATGAGTTGGCCACATCTCATACTACAAGACGGCAGGATGTAATGGGCTGACAGATGTCCCCTCCCCCTGAGAGAACATGCCTATCACACCTGGCTTTCCCTGCCTCTCCCTCACTTCTGTGAAAATCTTAGGGCCAACCCTTCTCCTACCATGCAGCCAGGGAGGGTCCCTGGCAGGAGTGACACCAAGTTGAGTCTTGCTCAGCCTCCAACTCAGGGAGGATGCTATTTCCTGTACTTAAGAGTCTTTGCTCTGGCAAGAGGTCTGGGACCTTGGGTGACTCCTTCGGAAGGGGCTTCTTGTCCCAATTTCCCCTCTCCTGAACCAGAGGCTTTTACCAGACCTGTTTGGCCTTCACAGCTCCATCTGTCAACAGTAACTCACCCTCAGCTGCAGCCCCTGGCAGGGCCTTCTGTAGATGTGACTGAGATCCTGTGGCCGTGAGGAGAGCCCTGCTGTCCAGCGAGGTGATGGGACCCAAAGGTGTACAGGGCACTCAGGGAACCTGAAGAAGAGCAGACCCCATGGTGAGAGGCACGCAACAGTTCCCTTGCAAATACTCTCTGGGGCCTGAGGGGGAGCAGCCTGCACAGGACAGCGCAGGAGACACAGCTGAGTGATGGCTCTGCTCCAGGTTTGGGGCAGGGGAACCTTCTGCAAAGACCCTGAGCCTGGGAGTCACTCAGACAGAATTTTGAAGCTAAGCAATTCCTCTGACTGACTGAGGGAATGTAGGCCAGACAATTCATCTCCCTGGGCCTCAGTTTCCTCATCTGTGAAAATAGGAATGATAAATAATAAAAATAATTTTTAAAAGCCCAACCTTAGCCCTTTCCAAAAGTTACCTCATTTAAATAAGCTCAGGTGCGGTTGAAAGGGGCTGAGTTATGAATAACAAAGACACTTTTATCCCTCTTATCACTTAGGCAATTCCAAGGGTTTTAGGAGCTCTGTGCCAGAAATGGGACTGAAGACCAAATATGTATTTCTTATTATAAATCACAATAAGACACAGACTAAAATAAGAAGGGCAGGAAGCAATAACTGGGTGCACATGATGAAACTATGGAGAATTTTTTTTCAATTTCCTTTAACAACGAGGTAAAATTATTGCAGCAATTTTTCTGTCCATGGCCTAGTATGGCAGACAAAGTCACAGTGCCACATGGTCTGATTCAGTAAGGAAATGTGAAAACAAGGGTCCCTTTCTCCCTCAGCCCCAAGCCTTCCCACAAACTGACCACCTATGGGGAGAATCTGGTGGAAGATGAAGCCAATCACTGTTTTTCTTGGTAAAGAGTCAATCTTGGAGAGTGGTCCCACCATGCAGTCAGTCCCCTGACAGCAGCATGACAGTCACCAGAAGGGCTACTGTCTCTCCCTACCTACAAGATTGTGACTCACACATCCTTGTCACCCGTCCCTCACTTTTGAACTCAAAAGCCGAATGTTACTACACAGATACCATCATCTGGATGCTCTCAGGCACAAATTCAAAACCAGATAGATCATGGATCTCTCCTTGCTACCCACAAAAGTGAACTCAGTATCTCCTCTTGGGTCACAGCCTTTATCTCCTGAAGCTGTATAACATAGTTTAAAAGTTTGTCTGGGGGCTGGCCCAGCAGTGTAGTGGTCAGGTTTGCATGCTCTGCTTTGGCAGCCCAGGGTTCATGGGTTTGGACCCCAGGCATGGACCTATACACCACTCATTTGGCCATGCTGTGGTGGTATCCCACATATAAAAGAGAGGAAGATTGGCAACAGATGTTAGCTCAGGGCCAATCCCACCAAAAAAAAAAAAGAATCTTTGGCAGGTTGCCTCTCATTACTTATTTTTCAGAAATATCCTGGCTATTCTCAAATATTTCATCTTGCAGTATGAAATATAGAATTACTGTTATAATTTTTAAAAAATCCCTTCTTAGATTTTGCTTAACTTTGCACTGAATTTGCCAATACGTCTAAGATAATATTGACAGTTCTGAAAAATACTGAGCCTTCTAATCCAAGATTAAGACTTCTCCATGTATTCAAGACTTCCTTTACATCTCAAACAGTTTTATACTTTGCTTCACATAGGTCCTCTGATTCTTTTTGCATTTATTACTAGGTAGTCAATTGTGGTTTTGGTTGTTATTCTAAATGGCATATTTTCATCCACTTAATTACTCACTGAAATGGAAAAGTCATCAATCTATTTTTCTATACTCATTTTAAACCAGCCACTACTGAACTTTCTTAATATCTGTAATGGTTTTAGAGTTAATCCTCTTGAGCTTTGGGGGCGGGAAGGGTATATAATTATCTCATCCACAAACACTTATAGGTTGTTCTTCTCTTTTCCAATAGTTTAGACCTCTTATCTCACTCTCTGATTATCTGCACTCACAGGCACCTAGAAGAAGGCAGTCACAGCAGCGACAGGCTGCTCATTTGAGCGGGAACACTTAGTTTCTGCCATTAAGTCTGATACTGACTTTCAATTTGAGATAAAGAAGGTCTTATCATGTTAAGAAAGCATATAAATAGTTCAGTTTTACTATTTTGTTAAAAAATCCAGAAAAGGTGTTGAACATTATCAAATGCTTTTTTTTTTACCATCTATGAGGTAACTGTATGGTGTCTTTCCTTTGACTCACTAATATGGTGAAATTCATTAATAAATTCTTCAAATAACATTAAACTCACCTTACATCTTTAGGACGAATTTCCTCTCGGTCAGAATGTAATAGTACTTGAATATATTACTACTTGAATACATTGTTAATTTTTTAGGATTTTGCATATTTATTCACAAGGTTGGTTCCAGTTTTCTTTGCAATGCCATCTTTTCCAGTTTTTGCAATCAGTACAAGAATGATGGCTTTATAAAAACAGTTGGTAGTGCTTTCCTTGTTTATAAATTCCCCAGAAAAGTTTACCTATTTGAAGAAATGTTACTTGGAAGTTACTTCCAGGCTCTATAAGAAATCACCAACTGAACTCTCTAAGCCTGAGAGTTGCCTTTTTTTGAGAGGAGAAATAGAGGCTGGCAGGAGGTGGGGTGGGCAGGAATCTTTTTCACCATTTCAAACTTTCACAACTATGGACTGCTTAATTTTCTTTCTCTTTGTATGGAAACTTTTTTTTTTTTTTTAAAGATTTTATTTTTTTTTAACTTTTTCTCCCCAAAGCCCCCCGGTACATAGTTGTATATTCTTCGTCGTGGGTCCTTCTAGTTGTGGCATATGGGACGCTGCCTCAGCGTGGTCTGATGAGCAGTGCCATGTCTGCGCCCAGGATTCGAACCAACGAAACACTGGGCCGCCTGCAGCGGAGCGCGCGAACTTAACCACTCGGCCACGGGGCCAGCCCCTGTATGGAAACTTTTTATATCCACATATTACTAGAAAATTATTCTTTGCATGCCAACCTGGAAATACATTAACGTAAAGTTTTACAAAAATATTATTTAATGATATGGTTATTCTCCTATTTGCATTCCTATTTATGTATCTGTTACTTTCCTCCTGACTCCATAAGGTCTGCTAATGGTTTATCTACATTATTGATTTTCTTAAAAATTAGATTTATCAGTTTTCCCTTTTTCCTTTTTAAACTCAATTTCTCCTTTTATATTTATTGATTCCTTCCATTTTTCATATGTATATTTTCTAACTTCCTCCATTAAATGTTTAATCAAGACAGAAAAGGAAACCACAGAAAACTACCCACAATTTGGCTCAATTGAAGACACTATCCTATATTATCTCATCTGACCTTTTCCATCTTGATTAAAAACACATACAGTATGATTCACTGTCACACAATAAACAAAACCATGGCTTAAGTTTTATAACATATATGGATCATTTCATCAGGTTTTGACAGTTCTATCACGTTTCTGACAGTTCATTTCTTTTCCTTCTCCAGATCCCAATCTTTCATCGTGACAGCACTGCAGAAATCTATCTGGCCCAGGGTGGGACCCTAGAGGCTTCCTGTCTGTGTGAGTCATTTTGTCACGTGATCTGACATCTCTTTATAACTAGTCAATCTCCTACAATGTTTTCTTTGAGATAAGAAGGTCTGAGCTCTGGCTCATGTTCGAACTCAACATTTTAACCAGCTTTGTAAGTTTCCAATGTGCAGCTCATATTTTACATGTAACTAGGACACACTATTACATTTGTACTGATAAATACATGGGGGCTAAGCGAAAGCTCAAATGTAGAAGGAATGATGCAATTAGAAAATCACCATTTGGCAACCATAATAGTAGTAATTGATTCAGGCAAGAATCATTAACGGATACTAACACTAGTGAATGAAAGTTTGAGGTTATTTACATAGTCATAAAATATCTCCCCATAAGACACTTATTAACAGAACTTTATAGAGGAGAACCCTGGTGGACATAACCTTAACCAAGTGATCAAAGTTAACATTACCAGCACTGTGACAAACCAACATCACGCATCTCCTGATATGGTACATTGAGGACATAACGTCACTTCTGTGGTGTTCCTGTCGAAAATGTACATGACTCTAATCATGAGGAAAAATCAGAAAAACTCAAATTGAAGGACATTCTATCAAAGTAGCTGGGCTGTACTCCTCAAAACGTCAAGGTGAAAAGGGCAAAAAACGACTGAGAGAACATTCCAAATTAAAGGAGTCTAAAGAGATAGGACAACTAAATGCAACATGTAATCCTGGAATAAATCCTGAACCAGAAAAAAGAACTGCTATAAAGAACATTATTGGGACAACTGGAGAAATCTAAATAAGGTCTGTGGACTATACTACTATAACAACAATAAAAATAATAATACTGTTTCAGGGTTAACTTTCCTGCTTTTGGTAACTATATTGTGGTCATATAAGACAATGTCCTTGTACTCAGGAAATACACAGCAGGGTGAAGGGCCATCATGTCTGCAGCTTGTTATTAGATGGTTCAGAAAAAAAAAATTAAAATATATATAAATATAGCGAGAAAATGAAATTATCTGCATATATAGGAAATGTTAACAATGCAGAACCTGGGTGAAGGGTATAACAGGGATTTTTGTACTATTCTTGCAACTTTTCTAAGCTGAAATTATTTAAAAACAAAAATTTCTTATGTTTGTGGAAAGTTGAGCAAGATGGGAAGAGCTGTGAGTCAAAGGAGGAGGTTAGCTGCTTTCCCAGATATGTCAGGTTGCACATCTGAGGCACAGAGGAGAAGTCTCGATCCAAGTGAATTCACCCGATCTTCCAGGTTCCCTGAGAAGGACTCCTTTCAGAATACTCTGCAGTTTTGGAGCCACTGCATCTTGGCCCCAGGGCAGGCAGCCCCTCTAGAAGCTCTTTTCAAGCTGCTTTACTCAGGTCTCTGCAGCCAATGGTCAGTCTCCAAAAGCTAAGAGATTCTGACCAGGGGGCTCTGAGCTCCCCATCCAAACTGCCTCCAGAGAAGAGCCATCCTCAGCCTGTCAGCTTCATTAACAGGACTCTGCCTCCAAGTCCAACCGGACCTTCAGGGTCCACTTCATTGTGCGTGCTTTTGGTTTCCAGAAGGAATAACAGAAAACAGGTAATCTCAAATGGCCAAGGGCTACAGGTCAGAATTTTCTCCTGCTGTTTCTCTGGCTTCAGAATTTCAGATAAAACTTCCTCATAGTATTAATCTTTTGGCTTCAGATTATTTCTATGATTCCATCTAATTCAAGTTAAAAATTATAACCAACCCATTGTATTAGACCCAGGGGTGGCAATGGGTATTGACCGATAAGGAAGCCTTCGGGGTGTAAGAGATGATGTGTATCTTGATTAGGTTGTGTTTACATGGTTCTCTGTACTGTAAAAATTCAATGAGCTGTACCCTTAAAATAAGCATACTTGACTGTATGTGTGTTACAAAAGAATATCTAATGATCTGGGGAAACACTATAAATAAAATGAAATAATCTGCATTCAAACTTGAAAACTTTTTTTCATACAGAGGCACATACTCCCCCTGCCCCCACCTCCTAGGTATGAATGTTCCATTTAATTATCCAAAACATGTAAAATTAATCTGTGATGTGAGAAGTTAGGAGAATGGTTCCCCTTGGCAGGGAAGTGACTGGGAGGGGGTATCGCGGGGGCTGTCAGGGTGCTACAGTGCTCTGCTTTCTGATCTGAGTGCATTACCTAGGGGTGTTCCCTTTGCGACAATTCATTAAGCTGTATATTTATGTCTATTTTGCATGTAGCTTCTATCTCAATAAAAGGCTTATGTTAAAAATTTTAAAAAGAAAAATTATTTGCTCCCAAACCTGGCACTGAACACAGTGCAGGTGATGAAGGAAAATAGCCACAAGAAAAAGAAGATGCCCCTGGGGCTGGCCCCGTGGTCCAGCGGTTAAGTTCGCGCGCTCGCTGCAGGCGGCCCAGTGTTTCGTTGGTTCGTATCCTGGGTGCGGACATGACACTGCTCATCAAACCACGCTGAGGCAGCGTCCCACATGCCACAACTAGAAGGAGCCACAACGAAGAATATACAACTATGTACCGGGGGGCTTTGGGGAGAAAAAGGAAAAAATAAAATCTTTAAAAAAAAAAAAAAAAAAAAAGAAGATGCCCCAACTCCGTCCCCAAGCTCATGACTTCTGCATCAAAGTAGCTACCTGTCTTTGATTCTGTGCAATTGAAAAACAGGAACTGTCTGCTCTAAAAACTAAAGCTTGACACGTATGGCTTCTGAAAGATGTTATCTGCCCTACCTCTCAGCTTCCTTTGTTTCTTAAGATGTTACAGTCATTATGCTTTGTCTGAAGACTACTTAAGGATTGAATATAATACTTTAAAAAACAATTGAAATATTGTTTCAGCATTTCATCCTTTCATTAAGCTAAGGGTCAAAATCTCTTTTCATTTTATTTGTACTCTTGGCTCAGCCCATCTTAATCACCAGTAGTTTGACTTTAATTTTAGTGAGGAGCAGTTTCTAAAAGTAGCTTTAAGTTCTGTTTTTGCGGTTATTGTTGCAGTTTTATCCTTATCGAATTGTTCTACCAGGATTTTATAAGTAACAGATTCATGGAGGTCAAATGTGCTATGCCTAAAAAATACAGAACTAGGCAAAAAGATTCTCAGAACATAGTAACTTCCAGATCTAGTTTCTTTTCCTTATGTAGTTTATTTCGTTTTCTCTTTTCCCCCCAGCCTTATTAAGAAATAATTGACATATGCCATTGTGTAAGTTTAAGGTGTACAACACCATGATTTGACACATGTATATATTGCAAAATGATTACCACAATAGGGTTAGTTAACACCTCCATCACCTCACATAATTACCTTTTTTTTCTGTTGGTTAGAACATTATTTTTAAGTTGAGCCTAGATAAAAGTATTTTCCAAACACTCTCAAAGTTTACTCCTTCAGCCAAATCTTTTACAATATCAGCGTAGATACTTACTCAGTAAATTCTTCGTTTTCTAACCACAGGCAAGGCCACATCCATCCTAGCTGTCATGGAGTCAAAATAGGTTTCCAGAAACCAGGCTCACTCTTGGGATGCTGTCACAGATGGACATGTCATTTCTTTTGCCAGAAAGAACCTTAAAGGAAACATTAGAAGAAATATGCATTAAATTCTTGCCACGAGCAATAGATGCCACACCTTTATTAACACGTTACTTTAGATAAGTTTAATACTTGATCCTTTCAAAGCACCTTTCTTAATGTGGGGAACAATAGAAGAACGGGGAGAGAGGTTTCAAGAAGAGTTTTGAGGTGGGCTTTGGCCCTGAGGGACTGGACCGAACTGGCTCCCCATCAGCTGGGGAGGGTCACAGGGGTGAAGTGTGATCCCATTATGCAGGCTTGCAGCCTCAAATCCTTGACTCTCCCATCCCCGACCTCTGAATTTCACAAGCCTCCTCAACACCAACCCCCATTAAGCCTCCTTGTCATGGACACACATAGTGTCCCTAATCTACAATCCCCAGAGGTCCCTGAAGTCACTGATATCCCCACATGTTCAAATATGACCATCAAAGACCACTAGTCAGTGCCTATAAAGCTCACTGGTCCATTCTGATGGACAAACAGTGAATTACACAGATCCCAGAGCACGAACCCACACTGCTCTCCGATGATCCCAGTGACTGGGGATCAATCGCTGACCCTCACAGTCCCACCTCCTCCCACAGTTACTGGCAGTCCCAATCACTAACCCCATTGATCCCTCCATTCCCCATTCCTTAATCTACAAAAGTCTAATCACTAATACCCTCAGATCCCCCCATCGATGATCTAAAGGAAGTCTCAACCACTGATGGCCTAGAGCATTTCTCCAAACATTGATGCCCATTGACCCACTAATCACTGAACCTCAAAGTTTCCACAATCACCAGTTCCAGGTACCCCAACAGAACTCAGAATATCCAATCACTGATTCCCTCAGGCTTCTCATCACCGAGCCCTAATGCTGTTCAAATCAGGGACTTTGAAGAACCCCACTTAGCCCCAGACCCCTGAAGACCACTATACTGGCCCCCACGCACTCTGCCAATCAAGAACCCTCATTTATTGATTCCCACGTACTCCCAATCCATCTTCTTCACAGACACTGCCACTGACTCCCACAAACCTCCGCCCGCCACCACAGAACCCCCATGAGGCTCAGACGCCGGATCACTTAACCCTTCAATCCCCTCGTCTCTGACCCTTATGGGCACCCATCACTGACCCAGTCGGGCCACCGCAGTCGTCCGATCACCATGGTACAAAAGTCCCGAATTTTGACTGTTTCTCACACTGACCTTTCCCATTTTTCCTGGATCCGCGCCCATAACCCCAAATCGATCGCAGTACCACGCCGCCTCGCCAGAGGACAAGCTCTTCCCATCCCGAGAGGCGGGTGCGCAGACTCAGTCGCGACTTTGAGGCTGTCGGCCGCTACCGGGCAACCTTCCCGAGAACAGGATTCTGGGTTTCTGAACTTTAAAGGGAGGTATGATGGCCGCGCCCGCTGGACAGACTCTTGCTGGGGGCGGCCATGTTGAAACCTGGCCCGTACAGCGGATGACTGGATCCTTTGTGGACCAGAGGACTAGGCTACGTAGGGCGGGGAGAAGCAAGTGCTCCTGGGTCCCTAAGAAGCCCAACCCTCCTTTGGCCAATATGGTGGCGCCCTGACCTCGAAGCTGACCTTTCTTTGTCACCAGCGGCGCAGGCAGTGAGGGAAGATGGCCGCGTAGATTTATGCCGCTCCTTACGTGCACGGGGCGCCGCCATCTCCTAGGAGACGCTCTGGCGAGGAGCATCCCCAAGGCGGTCTGATGAAGGGGCGAGACTTCCCGGGAGGGCGGATCCGGGGAGAGGGCGAGTAGGAACCTCTGAACGGGTTGTGGAAAGAATATATTGAAAGCAGGGACGTTAATCTTAGGTGGCTTGCCCCTGAAGCTGACCTGAGACGAGGATGTGAGTGCAAGCAGTTTATTTGGCAGGTGGGGGGGTGGGGAAGTGCGACGGGGAGCGATGGAAACCAATACCGAGTGCATCAATGAGGAGACCACCCCTGTGAGCGGTGGGGGTCGGTCCCATGGGGGACTCTGGGGGATTGTGTAGAAACCGCCTCCAAGTTGTCCCACTCCAGGGCCTTCTGAAGAAGCTGAGATGTTTCTATATCATCTCCTTTCCTCATTGTTGAGGTCTACTGCAGGGGCCTTAAAGCTCTAGCACTTCCAGCCTGGCTCTTGGGCAGGTCTCAGGCAGGGTCTGTCGGTGCGGGCAGGAAGAAGCCAGGTGTCAGCATGTGGGAATGATGAGCGCCCAGGACAAGTGGCTGGGTACCAACAGCTTCAGTAGAGTCCTGCCTTTAATACCATCCAGAGCAGTGCTCTGCACATCACAGGCATTGGAACATCTCTCGAAATGGTTGCCTTGTCCTATGAAAATAGCTTCTTAAAAAAACCATAATTCCCATTGGTTGTCATAACAGCTGACATCCAAAATGGCTCCGAACGATTTCAACCTCCTGTTATTCACACCTTTGTGTAGTGCCCTTCCACACTGTACCAGGGCTGGTCTGTGAGGCTAATAGAATACAGTAGAAGTGCTGGCATGTCACTGCTGAGATTAAGGTATAAGTGACACCTTGAGATCTCCAATAAAAACAGGGTACTCAGGAGCTGAGGTCTGGTTGGGGTTGGAGTACTCATGGAAAGAGGAAGCGGGTAAAAGTAGAGTGTTTACAGAATAGTACTCACTGCAGGATTCAATTTATGTGAAGTTCAAGAATGGGCAAAACAAATCTATGTATTGAGTTGTAAATCAGAAAGCAGTTGACTCTAGGGGCTATTGACTCTGGAGAGAATTTCTTGGGCTGATGAAAATGTTTTTGTCTTGTTTTGGGTAATAGTTTCATGAGTCTATACAATTGTCAAGGCTCATCAAAGTGAACACTTATGATTTGTGCATTTATTATATGCAAATTATACCTTAATTTTTTTAAAGAGAAAGAGTGTTCAGAGTATTGAGTGATTGTGTGGGCCAGGGAACAGAGGAGCAGAAGAAGTGACAGAACTTTACCGCAGTCTGTGGAAAGATGGGACCCTGGCAAGGCCATCGTCAGCACTTATGGTTTATGACAGTACTGCCTCTAGGCAGAGGAACTAGAGAAAGGAGCCTCCAAGGATTCATGGCTTGGCAAAATAAACGCTCTGGGCTAACTCAGCCTGCACTGACCATCAGCTCTCATTTACTTCCTTGGCCTGATGCTAATAGGTCAGCCAATAGAACCAGATGTGGTGGCCCTGGACACTGTCATCATTTAAAGGGCCACCAAGCCCCAAATTTGACCTAAAAGGAGGCACAGTTCTTCGCTGCTCTGGAGCAGAAAGGACTGTGCCCTGGCCTGAGTAGAAATAGGGCTTTGTCCTTGTATGAGTGAAGATTGTTCTGGATCTGGGTGGGAAGTGACTGTCCCCCAGATCAACGTAAATCTAGAGAGTAGCCTAGCATGAACAGAGGCCACACCCCATCCTGTCCTGACCATGTCGGGGGAGGGAGAGGAAGGTTAGGGATAAGGGGAGAAACAAGTCTCAAAGTATAATTTTCAAAAAGTTAAAAATTAGAACTCTTACAGATACTCAAAGATTCATTTAACTTACTGAAGGAAGAACTAGAAAGATTGGAAATCTGGTTCCAAGGAAACAGGTACATATATAGCCAATCTTAGAATAAAGATTCTTTTTCCAAAGTTAGATACAGTATAAAACTATTTAATGTCCTACAGGGCAAAAAAATCATAACCTTTAAGGTTGTCTTTTCTTCACAGAATCAATTTGCATTTATAACAGACAAATAGATGAAATGCATCAATTGTCTGCAAATTAACGTCTATCTATACAGTCTGGATCCTAAGTAGTAATAAAAAGCCAATCAAACAAAGGTACATTCCACTAGAGCAGTGGGTTCTCAAATGGGTGCAGTTTTAATTCCCAGGGGACATTTGGCAATGTCTGGAGACAATTTTGGTTGTCTCAATGTGTGTGTCGGAGGGTGGAGAATGCTCCTGGCATATGGTGGATAGTGGCCAGGGATGCTTCCGACCATTCTTTAGAATGTATTTATACAGAGGACGACTTTCCACAACAAAGGATTACCTGGCCCACAATGTGAACAGTGCTGAGTTTAGGAAACCCTTCTCTGGAATGATTTGTTAGACCTTGGGTGGGCTTGTTAGACATGCTCTACTATGACTTTGAAAAGGCACACAGGATGACACAGTATCGTTTCCTTATTTCCTAGTTTTTGATAACTTTTCTTAACACAAAGTTGGCAAAATGTTGAATCTGGGTAATGGATACATGGTGATTAACCTTTTCTCTCTATTTTTGTGTATGTTTGATTTTTTTTCTATATTAAAAGGTAAAAAGAAAAAGCAGATTCTGGTCTTTTGCTTATGGTCAGTTCTGTGTACAAGTGGCACAACTAAAGATCCTGTTTAGATATAATATTTAAGTCTAAAGATGTCCCTCTTTTACAGCTTGGTCCCTGTACTCTGCCCATCTCCCCACTCCAGTGGTTCTCAGTTCTAGCTGCATCTTAAAATCACTCAGACAGATTTCAAAAATTCCAATGAGTGGGGGGCCAGCCCTGTGGGATAGTGGTTAAGTTTGGCAGGCTCCACTTCAGTGGTCTGGGTTCACAGGTTCTGATCCCAGGTGCAGACCTACACCACCTGTCAGCCATGCTGTGGCAGCAACCCACATATAAAATAGAGGAAGACTGGTGCAGATTTTAGCTTGGGTGAGTCTTCCTCAACAACAACAAATTCCAATGATTTGGATCCATTCTTAGCAATTCTGGTGTAATTTTTCTGGGGGTAAGGCTCTATTTTTTTTTTTTCTTTTTAAAGTTTACCAGATGTGGAAAATTACACACTCACAACATGAATCAATTAAGGAACGTCATACTCTGAACTTGGTTTGTGGTGGGCTGGATGGGTAATACCTGGCAGTGCCAATGCGAATCCACTCTGGAAGAGGGCATCCCTCTGCCTCTGCCATATCTTATGCCTCTGCCTCCACAAATAATTTTTCAGGGACAATGACCAGCAAGCTGTCACAGATAACCAGTCATGCAAGGGAACAGAACCACGTTTGAGTAAGACCCTGCAGAAACAGCAGTCAATATAAGCAGATCCATCTAGACAGAGTAGCTTTGGAGAGGTGATGTTGCTTTGGTTTGGGTTCAAGCCCAAGCGATTTTATAGCAGCCCTCATTCTACTTCTCTTAGCCCACAACTGGGAGGTCTTTGAGCAATATGAATGAATACATTACAGTGGTAGCTAGCCTGTTTGCCACTGGTAGGCAGATAACATTGTACCACTTATTTCCCATAAACTCTGCCCCCATCAGGTCCTTATAGTAGTTGCCCGTTTGCATTATGGGGTTTATTTCCCACTATATTCTCTATATGTAGATGTAGTGCTAGATATTGTTATTTATTTATTTATTTATTTATTTATTTATTTATTTTTGAGGAACATTAGCCATGAGCTAACTACTGCCAATCCTCCTCTTTTTGCTGAGGAAGACTGGCCCTGAGCTAACATCCGCGCCCATCTTCCTCTACTTTATATGTGTGACGCCTACCACAGCATGTCGTTTGCCAAGCAGTGCCATGTCTGCACCCGGAATCCGAACCAGCGAACCCTGGGCCCCTGAGAAGCAGAATGTGCGAACTTAACTGCTGCACCACCGGGCTGGCCCCTGTTTATTTTTAATCAGCATTACTTTCTACCCCATTTTATGCCCTCGCCTGTGTTTCAGGGGCTGGACATCTAAGAACTTCATTTTCTGATTAACTTGCCCCCAAGGCTCTGACTACAATCTAGTTACTGCCAATGAGATGCTTTCATAGAAGATTTGGAAGTCAGAGGGAGGTAGAGGCCTTTCTCCAGCAGTGAAGTGAGGTACAGACTTAAGCAGATACAGGCTTCTACAGTGGACTCATCAATCATCACCAATGTTGACAACAGTTTCCTGCAATTTCTGACCTCCAAATGTCAGATTTATTAGTGTGACTACAAAGCCAGTGGCAATCTCTTGATGTTTGTCCCTCTAGCCATTCCAAAGATTTTGGAAGCATCTAATCCCCTATAATAAATCTCTTTCTGCTTGAAATACCTAGGATACCTAGAGAGATTTCTGTTTTCCTGCATTGAGTCCTGACTGATATATGGGTTCCACTGCATCTGAGATAGTTAATTAATTCACAGACAATACAGTCCGAGAGTGGGCCAATAACTTTTATATAAAATGGTTCTTGTACCTTGCCTATCATATCTTAAGGAACAGATATCACTGAGCAATGGGACATATTATCTAATCTTTTCTGGGCAGCTCAGCCAAGAATGTCATATAGTTTATCACTTAACTGATAATGTTTTTGTGTTGAAGGAGTTTCCATCACTTTACTCCTTGTTTGGGGGGGGGGGGTAAAAGTGATGGACTATAGGTAATAGATTTGCCAAAAATGGGCCCAAATCTCAGGTATATTTGTCATGCTTGTATATTATGTATTTGTCACATCATATAGATTACAAATAG